GCTTAGAAGGAGCTGACAGCAGACTTCCAGCAGGGAAGTACTGGATTTTGAGCGTCGCATTGATTATTGTCACCAAGTATGTCAGGGCTTTCGGCGAGAGCAGCTTCAACGCCTTGTTGGTGATTTGATCCTCCCCAGGTGCTTTACGCACCTTGAGGTCTTTAATATGACTTAGTAACTCCGCCGGTGTACAATGTGGAAACTCGGAGGGTTCCGCTAATGTGCTATGTGGAGCCTCAGACGAATCTTCTGAAGAAGAGTCATCTGAAGAAGATTCAGTGCCACCGCTAACGCCGTTGGCTCTAAAATATCTCCTGACGGATCGTACGATGTGCTGTTCCTCGTCGAGGTCATTATCGAGATCATAGTTGGGAGAGAACTGTTTTAACATGGCATCAGCGAAAACCTCGACCTTATCCTCCGTTCTGAAGACTATGCCTTCAGGACCGTGGATGTATGGGAGTTGTTCTCGCTTTCCGTTTCTGACTGACTTTGCGACCCTCCAGAGAGGAATACTTGAATCAAGCATTCCCGCCAGAAAGTCGCTCCATTGCTCGTTGCGGAGTTCGTGCAGTGCGTTTCTCACTTCATGGACAAGATTTGTAGCCCTACGAATGTCATCAGGATGACAAGACCTTTTTGCCTGCTTAATAGCGGCTCTTTTGTCAGAGATTTTCTGACGAATGTCCGCAGGCAAAAGAGGTCTGCCGTGTCGTTGTACAGGAAATACAGCTGCACGCTGTAGAGCTGCTTGAATGAAACTTGTCCACTCCGCTTGAGCGGCATCTATTCCAGACTCATCATCTATAATCGGGATATTGGGAAACTCTCTAACGAGCAACTTGTATAGGTCCCAATCAATACGTTTCCTTGGAGGAGCTGCCTCCTCAGAAGTTTGCTCATTGCCCACATCCAAGACAACAGGTAGATGGTCACTAGAGATATCATACAAGATTCGAGAAGAGATACTGTATCTACAGTTTTTAGATATCGCGAAATCGATGACATCTGGTGCCTGAAGATGGTTGAATGGATGATGTGTCGGCTCCTCAGTGCTATGTATAAGGTACCCATTTCGCAACACATGGTTGTACAATCGAACCCCACTAGTGGAATTCAACCTAGAATTCCATGCTCGATGTTTGCAGTTGAAGTCCCCTGCCACAATAAGCGGACCCGAGTAGTCCAAAAGGACCTCGAGATCAGCCTCTTGTAGCCTGGCACCACACCTGACATACACCGATGTGATCTTCAGCGAGACACCTCCCGCCATATTGACCACCACAGAAGCTGCTTCGATGCTATGCATCTCCGCATTAGTGCTTCTATAATAGTCTATACCGCGCTTAATCAACACTGCTAAACCGCTGCATCGACCATTCAATCTGTCACCTCGGATAATATCATAATTCGGGAGAGCTAGACGATCTCCCGGATTAAGCAACGTTTCCTGCAGCAAGGCCACATCTATACCTTCATCCAAAAGAGCTTGATGAAATTCCCGTTTTTTGGGAATATCCCTCACGCCCAAACAATTCCAAAAAAGAATTTTGGAATGGATGTTCCGTTCCGAAGGGAGAGGAAAAGTGTGATAAGGCACTTCTTCCTCTCGGAATAGGCGAACGATCTAACGGTAGTCGTCCTCGGATTTAGGAATAATCCTTATTCCCGCATCAACGGCAGCCGCGCGATCTATTTTAATACCTAGGGAAATAAACTTGAAATTTAAAGTGCGCGATCTCGTCCCGTCGCGTAAGACGATCGGGGTTATGCGCCCTTGTCGTGTGGGTTGTGTTGATGCCACGACGGTTGGACGAGATGACCGAGAAGTAACATCGGCTGACCGAGTCACCTGACAGGTAAAAAACGTGGTCCCTGGCTTGGTAGTAGAAGCATTAATAGTGGTTCGATTTGATGAATTGGGGGAGGTGTGAAATGGAATTGATCCTGTATTCGGCAGAGGAGGAAAGTCTTGGGTTGATCGACCAGCCTTGTCGTCTTTCCTCCTTCTTGATTTTGCTTTTACAAATCCTTCGGTCTGTACGTCTTCGTCTGTGGATGTGAGATGATTATCAGTAACGTTTCTCAGTGGTCTTTTTAGGGTCTTTGTCTGTTCTTTAAGGGATTCTTTTGAATTTAGTAATATGGTTACCTGGGCGGTCAGGCTGTCAATTTTGGCTGTCTGGTCCTTGATGGTCTCCATTAGGTCTCGAATCTGCCTCGCCTGGTCGTCTATAATCAGCATCAGTTTTTCGTTCGTTTTCTGCTCCGATGACATCTGCGTCAGTGAGCTCATGTTTTCTGATTTTGCTTGGTTTCCGCCACCGCTCAGCTCTTTCCTCATAGTATGTGGAACTGCGTCGTCTGTTGATCCTCCTGGGTCAACTTCCATCTTTTAAAAACTTTTTCTCGCCAACAAATCTCTGAAAACTTATAGCTCGCAAATGTGACAATGTTGTCAAAACCCTTCTTACAGGGCGTTTTTTGTCAATGTATGATGTGAGCTTCCAAAGTCAATTTTGAATCTAAGTGAACATCGAGGAATTTAATTGGTTATGTCCATTTGCGATTGTGTGGTCGAGTGCTGATCACAAGCGGTTGAGCTTCGGTGGTGTTAAAGTATAACCCGTTAGCCATTAACCACAGTTGTATATCAGTGAAATGTTGCTGTGAATCTATTGTCAATTGTTGGGGGTTTTTGTTGTAAGAGATGGTTGTGGTGTCATCAGCAAAAGGTTTGCATTTATTGTCGATGCAGTTCGGTAGATCATTAATATATATATATTCAAAAGACAATAGGCCCTAAAACTGTTCCTTGTGCTACTCCATGCTTGATAACTTCTGTCTTGAGTGTACAGTTCTGGTAGCTAACGTATTGTCGCCTAATTGTCAAGTAGAAACTTACCAACGATAAGATATTCTGACTAAAACCATAGATGGACAGTTTTTATTTACAAAAATGCCAAACTATACCTGCCGGTGGTTAGTATAGTTTGTATGAACATAAAAAATGATATCAGAGGAGTGTATTCCTACTTTTCCGGTACTCCATAGTGCCAAATACGTCACTTAAGCCACACCTGCGTATTTTTCACAAAAGAGCTTGAGTTCTATCTTCGTTTATAGAGCATTTTCAAAAAAAGGTTCCTGAGGTATCTCCTATATATCTCATCATCGTCGCGTGCAATTTCTTAAGATATTTTCCTTGGCGTCCCCATTTCGCTGATAAAGAAAACACCCTTACCCCACGCAGTGCTGTGACCTGGGTATACCGTCAACGATACAACGATAGACGACGGCAACTACCGGTACGCGTAGCCTCGATGACAACCCATAAAATACGAACATTTTAACGAAAATACGAACGGACCAGATGGAAAAATCGGAACGATTTCCGCCTGTCTACCTCCTGCGGTCTTGCATGTTTATGAGGTGGATGTGTTTCGCGTATAGCCCAGAGAAACTGTATAAGGATATAGGTACATATTTTGATTGATTGATTGATTGAAACTTCCCGGCACGGATTTATCGAAAACCACCGATTAGAAGAAAAAACGCCGAGACACGTCGACAGATTTGTCAAGGGGGACAACTTTTTAACCAAAAACTACTTCACCCCCTTTCACCCTCTGCCTCCAGGGTCATCCCCTTGAAGAAGAAAGGGTATTGATTAATAGCTTGTTTAAGAGGTCTTTCGAAGTCCTTTATTTTGAAGTTTGATTTTTTAAAATCGGTAAATTTGTTTTCAAGATAGAAAATAAAAACACACGAAAATATCACTTTTTATTTCAATAAGTGTTCAAAATGTTGGTTAGGGCACTCGGCACAGCACAACCGAGGCAGATACTTTTTCAAGGTAGTGCATTCTCACCTTGTTCATTGCGAATGTTGCCGTTAATCCTGAGTTGGGCTTCGACCGTCCACAAGGTGCAAAGTTGTACAGTCGATCATGCAGTCATTTATCTAGGCTGTTTTTTATACCGGAGCAGCCGCGCAGGCCGGAGCCTAAATGCCGGGGCATCGCGGCTGCTATGATTATCCCAAAGAAATATTGTTAATCCGATGTTTGCGACTGTTTGCTGCTGGACAAGCTTATGTAGCGCTTAGTCTAGAAGATTGCTCTAAGTTAACATGAAAAACCCCATGCAAAAGTGAAGCTTTAAATGAAATGATTAGATCATGAAATGATTCGTAGGATATTTCAATACCATAGGTGCACAAAAAACTAATTGAGAAATCGAACTAAAGAATAAAAAATAAATAATAGTTTAAAAAAAGGCTCTAAACGAACTAAAAAGTATAAAATAATTTTTAATTACAAAGCGTTTATATTACAATAGTAGATGATCGAACCAACATAATTAATGACCACAAAATATAATTATATTAAAATTTAAGTTATTAAGAGAATAATTTAATTCACAGTAAAAAGCGTGGGATGCATTTTACTACATTTTCATATCTCTCCTCTTAGAGATAGTTGCCGAAAGAATGATTGTAACATTCAATATATCAAGCACCAGACGCGTTTTACTCTGAATTGAATTATTCTGTTAATAACTTAAATTTTATTATAATTTCATTTTGAGGACATTAATTATGATTGAATGTTCGACCATCTACTACAGTAATATAAACACTTTGTAATAAAAAATTATTTTCTACTTTTTAGTTCGGTTAGCTATACAAGCGTGTTTATTAGTTTTTTAAAACTATTATTTATTTCAGAAATACTCATAATTAGCATATTCATAAAATAATTTTTTGGATGGCATACCAGGTTTTTCAAGTTTTTCGACAATTTATTTCTTTATGGCAGGTGAAGAGTTAAGGTCATTGCAGAAAATGTAGCGTAACTTCTGATTTTCCTCATCGATTTTCTTGGTCTTGATTTCACTTGAAATGGTTTAGCAGTCTAGTTATTTTTAACGGCTAGGTGGCGCCCAATGATAATTTTCTCAATTTTTCAGGAAATTTCAAATACAATTTTATTTTTTTAGTACTCGGAAATTGCATGTAAAATCCTACAAGCAGGTGTAAAACGCAGGCCACTATCTCTATTATCTGTGGAAATACGAGTAGAAGTTTGACTTATTGACATGATTTGTCTGGTTCAGCAAATGTACTTAGTTTCAAAATAGTCCCCTAAATAACATACAGGGTGGCGCATCGAAAACGAAACAGACGCATTTACCGGCAGCTCAGTTTTTTTTTTGAAAAACGCTCAGACCTGTAGATTTTGTTTTCGAGTGGGACACAAGTTTGGCAAAAAATCACGTTAGCACGTGCAGCCCCCTAAGCGGGGGTGACACCACCCCTAAAATCTTAAATGGAACGGGTGGTCGAGTGATACCTTATTTTAATGGTCTTTCAATTCCCTTTATAACGATATAAGATTGATGTACTTCAGTTCAGTAGTTTTAAAGATTTATTGATTTAAAGCTTAAATAAAAGTGATACATCAACATTAGTGGAGAGCAATACATTTGGCAGCAAAGTAATGTAAAAATGAAGAATGAACTGAACCGTTAGGCAAGTAAATGTTGAAAATGGCCGCCATCACTCTCCAAGCAATAATAAAGATTTTGCTCAAAGCGTTGCCGCATATTTTGCAATACTCGAGGAGTAATTTGAAGGCACTCATTCACAATTCTTTGTCGCGGGTCTTCTAATGATGTTGGCCTAGTAGCATAGATTTTGCTTTTTAAATGATCCCGCATAAAGAAATCCAAGGGTGATAAATCTGTCGATCTTGGGGGCCATTCAATGGCACCTCTTCTACCAATCCATCGATCTGGAAACGTCTGATCTAAATATTGTCGAACACGTAATGCGTAATGTGGTGGGGCACCATCCTGTTGGAATATCAACCGATTCGCAACATACCGCCGATCATTCTGATTTTCAATTATGGCTGTTAATGCAGGATCTATGGTATCTTCCAGTAATTCCAAATACATTTCACCGGTCAAATTTCCAGGTAAGAAAAAAGGACCAACTAAATGAAAATACCAGCCCAAACATTTAATTTTTGTGGCTGCTGATAAATTCTGGGATTAGAATCGGACCAATATCGGCAGTTATGACGATTTACTACGCCATTTAAGAAAAAGGAACATTCGTCGGAAAAGCAAGTATCTTCACAAAATTGTAATCGCCGATCAAAATCGTCTTCATTAAGTTCTTGTACTAGGTGAATTTTATACGGATGAAAACTATGGGCCTTTAGAATCCGTTGGACAGTACGTCGACTAACACCACACACAGTCTCCAATTTGCGGCTACTTAACGTAAGATCTGCATAAACTTCCCCTAAAACCCCTATTTATATTGCTTCGTTCCTTATGGGATTTTCAATGTTGCGTTTTTTTTAGCTACAACATATTTTCGATGCACGTTACTGTTCCCATGTCGCTCATTGAATATTTCTGCTGTTCTATTAGCGCACTGATTATTTGCGAAAAATATTTCGGTAATTTCAACTCTTTCTACTGTGGAATATACCATGGTTAATTTATGCAATAAAGCGTTACAAGTTATTTTAGCAACAAAGATGAAAGCTTTGTCTTTGTGAAAATAAGTAATGTTTGTCAGCCCTGCGGTCTAATACGTTAATCAATGCCCACAAGTGAATGAAATTAGGTAAAATAGGGTAATTTGGAAAGATGATTAGAAGAATAGTCTTCAAAACATTCCAACATCTCGAACGCCGGTAGCAGGAAAATTGATATTTCCGGTTCTCCAGTCGATCTCAATGTTACCAGTTTTGTAGCCTGTATAATATCTCAAGAGAAATTTTCCAACGCTATCTAGAGGTCCTGTGTGGAGCATTCTTGAGGTCTGGATGGCCCGTATCTAGCTTAGCTGCCCTGTTAAACACAACATGTTATCCAGTAACATACCGCCCGAGTAGGTCCATTTTGTAAAACTAATTAAACTGAAGCAGTGTAAATTCTCTGGACATGTCACAGTTGCATCCCTAATCAACGTTTTACATTTGGTCTCACCATGCACGTTCCTGCTCCATGAAGGTTTTTCCTAACTACACACATAGTAGACCAAATAAAGCTACAATGTTCTGTTTTCCTACTTCATATCCTGTATAAAGGACCCCGCACAAAGCATTATAGTCTAATCATATTAGGCAAAAATATCCCTGGTTTGCGAAATAACTGTAAAGTTTTCCCAAAAAAATTGGGGTACCCATTTCATGTTTTAAATACCCATTTGAACAACTTGCACCAATAAAAACAGACTTTACAATTATTTCGGGGAAATTTGCTAAAATGATTAGACTATCAGGATCCCCGCCGATTTTTCTAGAAGCTTAGTATGATATATTTATTACCTTCCTCAACAAAAAAGCAATTCTATAATTCGTTTCTGAGAAATAAGGGGATGAAGTTTGCCTATTTGCAAAAATGGTGAATGTGTACATAAATAGATTTTTGAATTCCCCGAGAAAACTATTCAAAGCAGCATGTGCCGAATCTATTATATCTTTGTAAAATAGCTGGTGCTCTTATTAATACCATCCTCCAATTATATTATTTATGGGAGATGATAGCGCTGCAATAGCGCTTAAGCTGTTAGCAACGACGCAAGAGCCAAACACCTAGCGTTCCGCTATCCGCACAAGGAAGTGAATTGCATAATGTGAAAAATACAAAATTTAAATACTATTTTTATGGTGTATAAAACAGTTTTTTATATCTGATGTTCTTCAACTCTTTTCGGATCAAGTTTTTAGCTTGTAAGCTATCACAGTACGGCAAAGCCACGTTCTCATTAGTCATTTTATTGATCAATAATAATGAATCTATGCAATTGAAGTGAAATGGTCTAATGTGAACATCCGTTCAACCATGTTGCTCTATCGATTTGCATAGCGTGATTATTATTATTGATCAATACGATTGACTAATGAGAACCCGCCTTAAAGGTGAAGAATTATTGTATTTTCTTTCGTTTGAATAGCAGAGCAAATCTTTCTATGCGGTCGTAAAGGCGGGTTCTCATTAGTCAATAGTATTGATCAATAATAATGAATCTCTGCCAATGAATATAGAATTGAATGGTAAATTTGATCACACTATGCAAATCGATGGAGCAGTATGGTTGAACGGATGTTTGATAGATTCATTATTATTGATCAATAAAATTGTCTAATGAGAACGTGGCTTTAGATCCGAATTCTGCCGCTTGCTAGGAAGGCAACATATTATATGAAAAATATAAAGTGTATGTTGTGTAGAACATCTTTTACATAACTTGACGTTGGTACAAAATTACATACGAAATATTTTTTCCTGTGCATTGCATGCAAACCATTATTACATAAATCCATGTAATTGCAATGCTGCCCAACAAATCATATTTATATGTGTAGATATTCCGCATGGAGGGACCCCTTGACGTATGCTCGTCATCATTATGAATATCTGAGGCATTTGGGGCCATATCGCATTAACATTTGCGGTGCGATCTGTCCAGTCTGTCCACCATTTGCCTGATATGCGCTTGTCGGACATGCTGTTATACCTACCATCAACATTTAATCAAGCTGGACGATCCCTTGTTCCCTTTGCTATACTCGATATTAACAGAGCAATATCAAAGTACAGGGCCTCCGTCAAACGCATGCTAGATTATCAGCTTATTTGCTTTCCAAACATATACTATCAAAGTCCGGTGCTTGGATTTCATCGGTCAGATTGTTGAACATAGTCGCGTGTTTCGGATTTTAATCGTATCTCGTATCAAGGTCGCAGCAGAAGTGCAATAAAAGTTTATATTGTAGGTTATAATAACCGCCTTTAGAATGCGTGCATTATAAAAGGGCGAAGTTTATCTCAAGTAGCTGTTCTTCCACTTGACGCAAATATAAAAAAGTGAGGTGTGACATTGTACAAAATTATGTGAATACATTTAAATTTGAAATTACATCTACAAGCATATACACACACAAAAAATATACTTATTTCTAGCCTATTTAAAAGCAATGGTTTTAGGTTTTCTCCGGAATAGAATTGTTCAGAGTAACAGTTGTTTTGAGGTGTGGCATGGTGAATAAATGCGAAGATCCAAAAAACCAATTGGATAAAATTTTATTTAAGCGAGGTATACGCTCAGTTTTCGAATATAATGTTTTTTTATTAATTGCAATTTTCTGTATGATAGTAAATAAATAGTATCGGAAAAACTCAAATACGCTGCACCAGCTCATATAAAAAAAATAAAGGGTAATAAAATATAGAATTTTGGATATAACTGTCTAATAAATTTATTGCACCGGCGATATAATAATAATAACATGAACTGCTTCAAAAGCAATATGTGGCACCGCACATATCATAAGAAAAGTCGTAGGCTGATGCTCGACCCTAGGGATGTGGTACATCCCCGGTCAGTGAAGGAAAGCTCAAAGCCCAGCTGCCACCATTTTAAGCTGTGAAATAAAGATATAATAATAATGATTTATTGGTGTCAGCTAAAGTAGCTCATGAAATAATAAATAAAAACAACAACAGTATAACATAAAATAGTACAAACATGAAACACAAAGTGGCAATAAAAGGTAAAGAGTTAATAAAACCAAAGTTAAAATTTAGATGAATAATAAATAGAGTTGGTTGAAAAATTATAAAAGAGACTAATTACAATAAAAATTGTGCCAGGCTGAAGAAATTGAGGTTAAGGAAGTCTATTTTTTCAAATGGAAACGCCTACATTTAAATGCAGATTCGGATAGGTACTCTCCATCGAAGCAACTTGATATGACATACTATAGGGTGCTATCTTTATAATTGTTGAGATATTGGGACTGTTATAGCTAGATACTAAATGTTTCGGCAATAAAATTCTATGATCCTATATTTTCGTCCTATGTAGTTACTTTTCCAACGTTTTAATTAGTTTATACAAGGGTAGTCAATAACGCATAGTGGACGATTGCTCAAACTTTTCAAAAGGAACATCCTGTATATTTTCACACTTTTTTATTCCTCGTTTCACATGCTTTTTTTTCTGTTATA